TAATGCAGTCCCAACTTCCCATCTTGTTTATTCCAGATAAACTCCCTACTCAACTTATCCAATTCCTTTAGAACTCCTTTCGGAATCAATGAGAAGGTACAATATAAAGTAGGAATTGATAGCATAACTGATCTAATCATAATGAATTTTCCTGCCAAAGACATAAGCTTACTTCCCCACACACCAATTAACATTAAAGCTTTCACGGTTAAAAAATGGAAATCAGTAGCAACTAATCTTCTCAATGCTACCTTAACACTGAGATAATTGAATTCCTTCACCGCCTTAAATTCCATAATACGTTCAATAGCTTTCCTTTTTCTCTTCTTGACATGTTTGCCAAACAAAATTGTTGATTTTCTCGCATTAATCTTTTTTCATGTCCAATTACAAAAATCTGATAAGATCATTTTTATTTCCTTCACTTCTTTGATATCAGCTTGAGAAAAAATTAATATGTCATCTGCATATAGTAGATGAGAAATCCTCGGCACATTGTTACCAATTCTGATTCCCAATGATTCTTCTTTTTGTTTAAATCCATTAGTAAGAAGTTGTGAGCATAGAATGAACAAAAACGAGGAAAGTGGGCATCCTTGACGGAACTCACTCTTTGCATGAATCCAGCTAGAAATCTTACCATTAATAAGCAAAGAAATTTTTGGATGTTCCACACATTCCATAATCCACGCAGAAAATTTCTGAGGAAACCCAAAATACTCCAAAATGTGCCTTAAAGTCTTCCAACACATGCTATCATATGCTTGTTCCATATCAACTTTAAATGAAACAAGCACTTTGGAAGATCTCGAAGTCCTAAATTTTTGAAACACATCTTGAGCCACTAGAATGTGATCTCCTAATGACCTGCCATTGACAAAAGCAGTTTGCTCCACTGATATTAACTTTTGAACCATAATCTTCATCCTGTTTAACAATATCTTAGCCACAACTTTGTAGATTGATCTGCACAAGCTAATTGGCTTGTATTGGCTCGGAACACTAGGATTCGATACCTTAGGAATAAGAACAAGTAATGTTTCTTTCCAGTCCACATTCATCTCTCCCGAACGAAAGAAATGATTAATTGCATTCCAACAATCATCTTTAATTATGCTCCAATAAGTTTTAATAAAGGAATATGATAGCCGTCATTACCTGGTGAAACGCTTTCTCCAGCTTGCAACACAATTGTCTCCAATTCTTCCATAGACAGTTCTTTACTTAACAAATCCCTATCATTCTCATCAAGGGAACAAATAGGTAAAGGCCAACCACTATGATAGCCATTCCTTTCCTTCCATTTACCATTAAAGAAATTAAAAAAAACTTCAGCAATTTGACTTTCATCTTCAACTACCAAGCCATTTTCATCTTTAATTTTAAAAATCCAATTTGCATTTTTCTAGCCGAAGCATCGGAATAAAAAAACTTTGAGTTAGGATCTACCTCGGACATCCATTTAACATTTGCTCTTTGCTTCCACCAAATGTTCAATCGGGCCAATACAGAATTTAGCTCACAAATATATGATCTAAGTTGAAAAATATCCTCCTCTGACAGCCAACCATTTTCTGATTCCTTTGATTGCAGCTCAAGGATTTTTATTTTGAGAATTTCTTTCTGCTGATTATATTCCTTCTGTTTAGCTTTCATAAAAAAAAGTGATTTCAAGGATCTACGAAATTTACAATTAAGTAATTCCGCAAAGTTTCCAACTGTCTTCTTGTTCCATGCCGATCTCACAACACCAATATATGCTGGATAAGAAGCCCAAACCTCCTCAAATCTTATAATTATATCAGCAGAAAATTTGTTGTCCATGAAATTCAGTAGGATTGGATAGTGGTTAGAAGCCACTCTAGCCAGATGCCTCAACACCAACCGAGCTGAGTTCATTGTTGCAGGATTTACAAAGCACCTATCTAACCTTTCCAATATACGAGCTCAACCAACCTTGTTGTTGCACCAAGTAAACTTTGATCTAATAACTCCCACATCATGAAGATCATTATTAACCAAGAAAGACTTTATCTCACTGGAATCCTGAGAGAACCGAAAAATTCTCCCCCCTCATTTATCCTAGACAATATGCAATTGAAGTCCCCTCCAACCACCATAGGAAGATTACTAGAAGAGAAAGCTTCCAACTTCTCCCAAAGGATCCTCATCTAAATCACCTCTTTACCACCATAAACAGTGGCTATCTTCCACACACCCTTATTCACAATTTTGCGTTCTCCTATAACCACTTGGTTTGAAGAATACAATAAGGAAAAAGAAGCTACATTGTACTTCCAAAGCACCAATATTCCCCCAGACAAGCCATCTGCAGGAACTTGAAAAAATTTCCAGTCATTCCAATAAGGACATTGATTTCCATGCTACTTAAATTGAAAATTTTAGTTTCCAATAACCCCACAAAAAATACATTATGATCTTTAACTACCTCCTTTAGATATAGAGAAGCTTGCTTCTTCCTCGCTCCTCTACAGTTCCAAAAAAACTATTGAGGCCATTAATGAACAAAAAGGGAAGGGTTCCCCACCTTTTCATTCACCTCACCATCAATCTTCCTTCCTCTAGGCGCTAATTTAATAGGGCCAAGACTTTTAAGTTGCTTAGCAAGTTTGATTTTAATATGAGTTGAACTACCTTCCTTTGTCTCTTCCATTGCCTTCACTTTTGAAGCATGATAAGTAGGAGATCACTCCACATCTTTCACAGCAACTGAGGAACCAGAAATTTTCGCTTCCACGTCCCCTGTAGCATTCGGCTGAACACTACCATTCCCTATAACAACATCATAAACCAGCTCACCTTCCTCCGTCAAGTCTTTAAGAACCGCAAATTTGTTACCTCCTTTATTAACATATGATTTTTCCCCAACAGTCTTCATATTCAAATTGATGTTAGTATCATGTTTAGAACCATCCATGACAGTAGAGTTATCCTCCTTATTTGCATCACCCGATTTAATTATAGTCTTACTCACCTCCTTGATTTCTTTTCTAAACAAAGGAACATCATCCTTAGTATCCTTGTTAGGATTTTTCTTCCACCCAACCTTTCTCCCATGGAGGCCATCACCCCTAGAAGCCTTCGTCCCATAACTTACATGCAACCAAGGCTCATAACCATTCCCCTCCTCTTTAGAAGATCCAGCCACTTTCTCATAAATCGAGTCTATACCCAATTCCTTCACATTTCGTTCCACATCCTTTAACCCATCTTGAGCAGCAACAGCAACCCTCTCTGGACAGCAATTATGTTCATGTCCAATCTTACCACAATTGAAACAGAGATAAGGAATCCTCTCATATTCAATTTTATGGAAAAACCTCCCTAAGCTTCCCTCTACCCAAACACCAAGAGGTAGGGATTATTCTAGCTGGAGATGGACACAAATCCTAACGAACTCCCTTCTACCGCACTAAAACATATTTTCATCAATCAAGTATGGCTTTCTTATCTTAGAAGCAATTCTACAGACATTAGTAGCATCCCAGCACTACAATGAAAAATTGGGCATTCTTATCCATATTGGTACAGTCAAGCCCTTCAACGAATTAGGGGAAAAAGTTGAAGACCATTTGTCCACACCAATGATGTTCCCAATTAACATACCAAGGACCGTTTGCAAGAACAAGATCCACGGACTCCTCATCATCAAAAGCGCACAGGCTCAAACCCTTTCCAAGCCAGGTAAGATTAAACTTACCCAATTGAGGCCATTATCTCCTAAGATCAGCATTAATAATGTACCGAGGAATGTTTTCTCCGAATACCTTCACCAGCAGGACATTTTGCAGCTTTCCAGTGTTCTCCAATACATTCTCCACACAGAGCTTTACTGTCATCCCGTCTTCCGAAAGGAAGTTGCCAAAATCCCAATCAGTAATTCTTCTATGTGACTTCTTATGCCACAAATTCAGCAAGTCGTTCCCCGTCGACTCTTTCATTATTGATTCTCTAGCTCCCTCCACATTTGGTATAGACGAATAAATCTCCCTAGAGATACAATGACGGACCACTTCCATATCTCCATAGTCTTTTTTTCTCACCATTGATTTCAGTATTTTGAATGAGAGAAATATCCCCATTAAGATCAACCATGACACCAACATCCTCCACTTCTTTCAGATTGATAGCAGAGACAACACCAGAATTGAAATTCTGGTATTTCTAGACATCCACTTTCTTTGAAATTTCTTCAGGCATCAAAATGTTCTTCCCTTTCCCAATTACCGGGACAAATTTAACATTTAAAAGACCTCCTTCATTAATAATTAAAGGTTTACCATAGTTTGAGCTAATCCAAACCCCATTAGAGCATATCTTGCCAAAACCCTTGAAGCGGCTTCTCCAAACGCAGGTGGAGAATTGTTACAAAATGAATGATGTTGAACCACCGCAGCATTAGACGAGGAATGGCGATCACCTCTAGGACATGAGCCCGGCAAGGCCCGGCGATCATCCGCCGTCATCGGAAAAAGCCTTTCAAAATGCCAAATCGAAATTTGAAAATAAGTTTTCCCTCTCTAAAACCCTGCAGCTTCTCTCTCTGGCCCATCGTTTACTTCATTTGGTTATGTTCCCCTAATAGTCTGTTTAACCATTAAATGTACTGTCAAGTTTCAAGTCATTTCTCTCAGATCAAACTAGAAAAATATAATCAAACAAAATGCCTCGCCCCCTAATCCCCAAAACAAAATTAAAACACAAATATCAACAGTAATGATTTCATGAAATATTTTAATTATCAAAATGGTCAAAGAAAAAAAAAAGATACAAATTAGATCATAATATTTCAACTTCAATTTTGATTAGCATTAACATGAGTAGAATTCATAGCTAATCAATCAAAGTATATTACACATTTCAAAATAAATTCTATAATTATAATATAAAAATTTATATCGAGATATCTGACCCAAATTTCTTTGAAAGAAAACACGCATCAAATCTATACAAGGAAAATAAAAAATATGAACATGTAATTCAGATAGACCAAAGCTAATTTTGGACATGCTTAATAGGTGAAAATTGGTAATACAAAAGGGAAATATTCTTAAAGTTCAACAAAAAAGATTGCCAAGTATTATTAATAAATTTAATAATCTTGGAGACGAAATCATTTCATCCCATTAGAGATTTGTGGTGTGTGTGAACTTCAAGTGACTAAAGCTGTTGTTTTACAGATAGGACATAAGTTCTTGAACATTAGCCATTGTTTGATACAATCAGTGTGGAAGTCATGTCTGCAGTCCAGAGTGCCAATGCCTTCTCCTTCACTGTAATCTTCCTAAATTATGAGTTTAAGAAGAATGTTAAATAGAAGATGATAACAAATATAGGTGGCTATAAACTGGTGAGTCAGGCCACATTTGCTTGTTTAAAAAAGGATAATTGAATGACATTTTCAGTTTCCTTAAGAACTCCAAAGAGAAACAGGATAAGTCACGAATGCATTAAATTTGCTTTGAAATGAATACATAATTTATATTGTATGTAGCTCAAATTAAATCTAATAGTTTTAAAACTAGTCTGACTAAATTAAATCAAAGCACCTTACCCGACAGATACAGCATGGCTCCTTTTCAGCTGATGCTACTTCAAGATTGCACGGTGAGTATTTTCTTTGCCTTAGGGACTTCAAAATGGTTTCTTCATTGAGACCAGTGTTAACATAGCCAATCCTCTCTTCAAGTGCCAATAATTCCTGTAACAACTGATAATTAGATTGTGCGGCACCAGAAAAGTAGTTATATATGCAGGAAAATCACCTCATATGACATGTTGTCAACATCAAGCCGCATGTCTCTGTGTCTATCATACAAGTCAGCACGACCATAAAACCCAGACTGGTCGAAAATGAATACATCCTGATCAGTTACGTCCACTATGAAAGTTAAATACCATGGAAAAGGAAACAAAGGTCTTCATAGTTTTCTGTTACACATTCCCTATCTAGTAACTTTTTTGAAGTATTATTTTTTGTATCGATTCTATCAGGTTATTTTAAAAAGGATGTACTACAAGGTCATGTGATATAAATTTGGGATTAAATAAGTAATTTTATGCCAGCATTTAATAATAAAGAAGATCATCAAGATAATGATAATAATGAAACAATCAAATTATAGGAAAGCAGAATGGAGCATGGACTTTGCAAAAATTAACCATATAGGAAGGTTTAATATAACAAGAATAAGTCTTTATCCCACAACATGGAGTTGGCTACATGATTCATTTTTCTCCATTACGTCCTGTTAAAAGTCGAATTCTCTGTGGGCTCCAAAAATTCGGCCCCGGTCTTCGCCTGCACTGATTGCTTTCTTTTTTCTGCGAGGGAGTTTTAACAGAATTATATTCCGGGGTAAATTTTGGAAGGCAGATGGGTTTGTAGATAAGACACTACCCAGAGATTTCGCCCTCATTTTTGCGAGGACTTTATGATCTGAGTTCTGGTTTCCTATAGGCGCAAGCCCTTATAGTTAATTCCTCCCGATCACGAGAGAGAACTTTCGATTAAGGCTAGTCGTCAATGAATACATCATACCCTTAGATACGTGATATCAGGCATATAGTAGCAGTGTGGGCTTGGATATTGGAAGTTTGAAGATTTGATATTTAAACTAAAAATTTCACCATCGTGCACTTAAAACGGATGGTGGGGGAATGGATGATGGACTAGATAAAGATCTCATAGTTCCGTCATCCCGGGCCATCGTGGTCCCTGGTTTACTTAGTCAGAGGAGGTAGTCGACCCAACCTGACAAAAGGATCCTTGTTGGCAGCCATGGGTAGCTTCATCTAAGGGTACCTTATAAACTTGGGGTGAATGTTTGTCTAAGTGGATAAATTTGAATCCAACTTACCTAACAGAGGACTTTGTGCCCTATCGTTCATAATTTATTGATTCATATCTCAAGGATTTGATGCCACTAAGGAGCGTATTGACTATGGCCATAACCGGTATTTCGTGGTGCCATTTGGCAACAAAATCACTCGGTTCAGAGGGACCCGGGTCATAACTTTTTATCCTGCGGTGCCATTTAGCGGCAAAACCGCCGGTCAGAGGACACGTATCACGTCCTTACTGGCAGGAAATTGTTTAATAATGAATCTTAGTGATATTTTCGACTAGGCATTAGCTCTTTGAGAGCTAGAGTAAATTTTAATTTGTCCACCACGGCAAACTGTTGCGGAGGGTGGATGAATTTTGCTTTAAATGTTTTGATGGTTGATTTAAAATTTAAATATCTTGGAGTTTTATGAATTTTTTTTTTTTTTTTTGGATTTTGGATTTTGGACATTTAAGTGACATTTGAAAATATTTGTGAATCCCTCTGGTTAAGATCTACATTCAACACGGCAATCATCGGGGTGGAAGGGGTTATTTCTCTTCTTTGATTGAACCCTGTCGACCCTATCAACTTGCCGATAGGGGGTCGGGTTTTGTAGGCTTTATGCTTTTATTAGTGAATTCTCATTGTTATAGGCTTTGAAGGCCTAATATGAATGTATTGAAACAAATACACTGGTCGCCACAACCGTGTATTTGTTTGAAGGTTCGAACCCTGTCGACTCTTATTGATCTGCGTAGGACGATCGGGTTAGAACTTGAATTCATTTATTAACCCGCGCAACATCACTAGACGTCACATGTACACTTATAACACGCTCGCCAGGGGGAGGGCCAATGCGGTGTTTGGGCGCATTTTATGATTAAACCCTGTTAACTTATTTTTACCTGCTTAGGAGGATCGAATTCAAATTTAATAACCAACAAGAAAGTCGTCCCAAATAAAACCATAATATAATTCACATGTAATTTTCCACACCATGTTATTCAAATGGGTTTTAGAGTGAGGATTTTAAGGATTTCAGGCCACCAAAACATTGTAAACCCACAAAAAGAATCAAAAGAAACAAAAGGGGTAACCCCTAACTGTGGTTTGCTGTTATAACATAATATAAAAATTGAATGCCACCCAAACTATTAAATATCATTTCTTATATTTTGAATTCTCTGCTCTGGCTAGTATAGCTTTTTATGATATCAAGAGGCACTAGTTATGTAGATACTAAAAGTATAATTTGGCCTTCTGCAAATAACCTTACATTTTCTTTTATTATTCTTTACAAATTTAATTGATTTTTCCATCAAAATTGACCATTTCTTAACTCTTTGGCCTCTGAAACGCCACGTGTGTACCAATAACATGCTCGTCGGGGCTCATACGGGTATTTGGGGGCATTTTATGATTATTGATTGAACCTTCTCGACTCCTATTTACCTACTTAGAATGATTAGGTTCAAATTTATTGACCCACACAGCATCCCTAAACGTCACGTGTGTACTAATAACACGCTCACCGGGGCCCATGCAGGTATATGATTTTATGATTGCACTTGCCCTTTTTGTGTACCTATGTGTATACAAATTACAGTGCATGTGTGGAGGCATTTTGAAAATATTTGTAAACCCCTTCTATCCGCTTACATAGATGTCGCGGATCCGGTGGCGTGGCATAGCAGCTTTTGAATTGAGCTGTTTGTTTCCTTGTACATATAGACTGTCGTGCACCACTTATTGCTTTCTGCAGATGGATTATAGTGCACTAACAAATCTCCTGCTTCTGTATACAGGTGAATCATAGCGTTATCACCTGATTGCAATGAGATACCTCATTGTTCTGATACAGACTCCCTTTTCTCATTCACCGGGAGGGTGATTCTTGAAATTCGTGATTGATGACTTGAAAGGAATTCCTTCAAAGATTTGTCATTTTCAGTGTTTATGGACGCAAGCACTGTTTTCTTCTTAAGTACATGACAAAGAAGAAATTTTAGAACACCAGGAAGTTTAGTTCGAATTTGCTCAAACATCTCTTCCCTTCTGTCAGGAGGTGACCTTTTTTGTACGCCGAATTGTCTTAATACCAAACATATTTTGCAGCATCTCAATCATCGTTACTATAGGTGATATCTGTACTTGTGTCCACAGTGGTTCATTGTGCTTACGATATACCCATTGTTGTTATCCACAAGAGGCTCGTGTGTATTTACGGGTACCCGTTGTACTCACTACGATCTCCTGGAAGTGTTCGTATGAGAACCATTTGCACCAGTATCATATCCACATTTCACCAATCTCTGGTGGTTTGATGTTTGCGCTTGTTTATAGGGACGGGTCTTCCACTATCAAATGCCAACATTGCCATCTCAATCTACAGGCAAACTTGCTAGTGTTTGGAGGTTTCAATAATGCATTTAGGTGCACGTATGCATTCTATGGCCATTTGTTGTTCTTGCAAGTATGACGCATTTGACCTCACAGGGACTTATATGTGTTTCGAATGTTTGTAAGAAGTCTTGTTGCTTTGGTTGCATATTCCAAATCACTTAGGTTTCTTCGATCACCACTTGCATGAATTGAGGTTTTATCTCCAGCTTGCAATTTGTACGATGACGTCGGGCATAGAAATATTGTTGCATTTGTCATTGATCTTTGCCAACAAGATTAACATCATCACCATGCCAAACCACAATGTTTATCTTAGACATTTAAATTATGCTTCAAGCTATTTGTTTGATGCTCAAACTGTAGTCTAGTTCGACGTTTAAGTTCATTCCAAGTTCAAGTGGTCAAGTAATGTCCCAAAGTCTTGTTCATCTTATTTGATATCCAAATCAAATGCAAGACCGAGTCCCTTGTTGTTCTTGAAAGTTCAGGTTCTTTATTGTCCATGCAAGTTTAAATCCAATTTGAGTTTAATATACAAGTTCACTTGCAATTCTAGTGCGTATGTGCTACGTCACATCTAAGTCCACAAGTTCTTATTGTCCACATCTTGTTCCAGTTTGAGTTCAGAGTACATGTTCAAGTGCTTGTTCAAAATCTTCTGAAGTACTTGCAAGTTCAATTTCATATTCACTTGATATGAATTTGGTTCCAGTTTGATTTTATTTTATTTGAGTTTGAGCCTTGATTAATCGTTTAGATTTTGTTTGTCTTCAAGTCCATAATTCTACTATTCATTCTCATTTGAGTCCAAGTTCTTGCTCTTTTTTTGAGTTCAAATCAGGTCCGAGTACAGTCATATTTTCACCCAAAATTTCGACAACCTCTCGGCATCTGTCCCGTTTATGGGAAAACTACGAAAAAACTGAGTCTTTCCCACCATGCTAAGAAAAGTGTGTATGGTAGATGTCATCGTGTAATTTTTGTCCCCACCACGCTAAGAAAAGCGTGTATGGGTCTTTTATATGTACCTTTTACAAAAAAAGCAGTTGTTCCCCGCAGGTACAGAGCTACGTCGGGTACTTAAAAGTTGTCCCGGCCACACTAAGAAAAGCGTGCACCAGGCTTACCTATCTCGTCGCATGCGTCGCACCGGGTTCCCTCCTACCACGCTAAGAAAAGCATGTATAGGTGATTGGCCGGCTCGTCGCATGCACCGAGGGCAGGGTTTTGGAGTCAAAGGCCGCTCACCTACCTCATCATAGGTGTAGCGCCGGGTTCCCTCCCACCACGCAAGCGTGTAAAAGTGGTTTGCCAACTCGGCATGAATGTCGAGGTAAGAGATGATATTTATTATTATTATTATTTATTAGATATTATTATTATTAATTAATTATTATTTATTTTTTAATTAATTAAAATTAATATACAACTAATTATATTAATTATAATTAGTATTTAATTAATCATGTGATTAATCATGATTAATTAATATTAATTATAATTATTAATTAATTTTAATTAAGTTTAATTAACTATTATTAATTTATAATTAAAAATAATTAATAATAATAATAATACCCCTCCCCCTCTCTTCCTCTCTGGTTCGGTCAGGAATAGGCCGAAGAAGCGCACTGGGGGGAGCTACCTTCCACAGCAAACGAGCTCCTATCGCTGGCTCCGATCCAACAGGTAGGAAAAGTTGTTCAAGGAGCAATGTCGACCAGCCACGAACAGGTCAAAGAGGCGTGCGGAAGGGAGAAAGGCTCTCCATAGTATGCGAGCTCGAGTTTCTGCTTCCGATCCGACAGAAGGGAGTGTCGTCAAGTGGGCGAAGTCGAACAACAGAGAGGGAGCCAAAGAAGCGACGTGAGGGTGAGAGTTATCCTCATAGCGAGCGAGCTCCTTTTCTTCCGATCAAGAAGCCGTAGCTTTCGATTCAACCTGGAAGGAACGTCGTCGAAGGGAGAAGCCGAACAGCGCCAAGGAGTCAAAGCAGCGTCAAGAGGGAAAGTGGGATAGTGCGAAGCACGATCAGAGTGGCTGCGACGTGCGAATGTGCGACG